TGCTATCACGAGGCTTCATCACGGCGTGACAAAAAGACGTGATGCAATATTCTGAAAAAAGTATTCTACTGTCACAACTGTCCATCACGACGTGAGGGAGCTCGTGATATGAAGTTCCTGCGATATGATCAAGGCTATTACAAGGCGTCATCACAACATGAGAGGACCTTATGACACAACATATTTCAAAAAATATAAATAGAAGAAATTGAATTCTATTAGGGGGGACTTTTGGATTCTTGACTTTGAAACTTTTTCCTTTAGACTCAGGCTCTGTTTGGCAAACCTAGCTGAAAAGCTATAAGCTAGGAGCTGAAAGCTGAAAAGGAGCTGAAAGCTGAAAAGCTATAAGCTCGGAGCTGAAAACTAAAGAGCTGTTAAGCTAGCTGTTATGATTGATAGAGTTTGGTAAAATTAACTTTTTTGATAAGTTGATAAATGTAAAAAGACTAAAAAGGACATCTTCATAAAATTTAAATTAGTTTGTTTACATATTAAAATTTAACATTTTGTCTTTAAAAAAAATTAACATTTTGAAATAAAACTATTAGCATAATCATGATCTAGCATCTCATAATGAAGTAGCAATATTGTTACAAATCTAATAATAATAATAATAATAATAATAATAATAATAATAATAATAATAATAATAATAATAATAATAATAATAATAATAATAATAATAATAATAATTGTGGTGAAAGTTGCGGATAATTTAAATGAGAAGAGAAAAAAGTTTTAATTGGGAAGAGTAAATGCTGTCATTTCTTTAAAATAATAAGGATAAAGATGAAAAAAAAGTTAGGAAGCTAGGAGCTTATTTTGAAACGCTACCTAAAGTAGCGTTCCAAAATAAGCTCTTGGCTCTGTTTGGCAAACCTAGCTGAAAAGCTATAAGCTAGGAGCTGATAGCTGAAAAGGAGCTGAAAGCTGAAAAGCTATAAGCTCGGAGCTGAAAATTGAAGAGCTGTTAAGCTAGCTGTTATGATTGAAAGTGTTTGGTAAAATTAGCTTTTTGATAAGCTGATAAATGTAAAAAGACTAAAAATGACATTTTTATAAAATTTAAATTAGTTTGTTTACATATTAAAATTTAACATTTCGTCTTTCAAAAAAAGTAAACATTTTTTAAAATAAAACTATTAGCATGATCATGATCTAGCATTCCATAATGAAGTAGCAATATTGTCATTGGTTGAAGCCATATTGCTAATTTAATAATAATAATAATAATAATAATAATAATAATAATAATAAGCTAAAGATGAAGGGATTGACGTGAAAGTTGTGATAGGGGAAGAGAAAGGGTTTTAATTCATAAGGTTAAAATATGTTATTACTTTAAAATAATAAGGGTAAAGATGGAAAAAAAGTTAGGAAGCTAGTAGCTTATTTTGAAACGCTATCTAAAGTAGCGTTTCAAAATAAGCTCTTATTTTAAGCTAGGAGCTTATTTTGGGAACATTACCAAACAGAGCTTATAGTTTATTAGTAGCTTAAAATAAGCTATAAGCTCCTAGCTTAGCGTTGCCAAACAGAGCCTTATTTTAAGCTAGGAGCTTATTTTGGGAACATTATCAAACAGAGCTTATAGCTTATTAGTAGCTTAAAATAAGCTATAAGCTCCTAAATAAGCTCTGCCAAACAGAGCCTTATTTTAAGCTAGGAGCTTATTTTGGGAACATTACCAAACAGAGCTTATAGCTTATTAGTAGCTTAAAATAAGCTATAAGCTCCTAAATAAGCTAGGCTCTGTTTGGCAAACATAGCTGAAAAGCTATAATCTAGGAGCTGAAAGTTGAAAAGGGGCTGAAAGCCGAAAAGCTTTAAGCTCGGAGCTGAAAACTGAAGAGCTGTTAAGCTAGCTGTTATGATTGAAAATGTTTGGTAAAATTAGCTTTTTGATAAGCTGATAAATGTAAAAAGACTAAAAAGGACATCTTCATAAAATTTAAATTAGTTTGTTTACATATTAAAATTTAACATTTTGTCTTTTAAAAAAATAACATTTTGAAATAAAGCTAAGCATAATCATGATCTAGCATCTCATAATGAAGTAGCAATATTGTTGCAAATCTCATAATAATAATAATAATAATAATAATAATAATAATAATAATAATAATAATAATAATAATAATAATTTTTGCCGTGAAAGTTGCGGATAAAAGGAGAAGAGAAAAGGGTTTTAATTGGGAAGGGTAAATTAAGTTATTTCTTTAAAATCTACAATTCTAATAAGAACGAATAATGTTAGGCCCTTAACTGGAACAAAAAAAATGTCGGTACTAATTGTTTCTTAAAATGAATGGTTCATAGTATTTTGATTTTAGTATCTTTTAATGATTTTCCTTATTTACCCTCTGTTATATTATTTTCTTCCCTTAAATAACCCTAAATTCCGTTAATTTAAACTTTAGTAACGGATATTCCGTTAGCTATTTATTATTCTTAACATACTCTTAATTTATATAAGGTCTTAGGTTCGAACCTCATCCCAAGTATAGTTGGCATAATTGTTAAACATATATTATGAATATGTTAAAATGTATTAACAAAATATATAATATAAAATTTAACATAAACTTTGGTCAAATAATTCGCAAGACTAAATACATAGCATTCAAAGTTGAGCATCAAAGATTATAAATCAGGAACTACTTTAAAATCATTTGGTTTTCTTGATTTTTTTATATAAAAAAAAAATTTAGGTTAAGTTTTTTTTTTTTTTTTTTTTGGTTTAATTAATCTTCTTCTGATTATTTAGAACAAAATTTAATATTTGAATTATGCTTTTGCATTATTAGAATGATTTAGGTCATTATGGTATTAATATTTTTTGTATTTTTTTATAATGGTACAATTGTACTTACTTTACAAATATTATACTATTATTTTTTTTATCAGACAAAATTGTTTTTACATCATTGTCATACCTACACGGCCTAACTACAAAGTTGTTGATCATAAATACAATTACACATGAACTCTAAAATGGTAGGATCATTTTTCAAATAATTGACAATGTTAACATCCTACTAGCACCAATTGAACAAGTTTACACATCAAAATTTTATCAATGCATGAAAACTTCTAAATAAATTTGTAAGTTAATTTTTACTATATCATTATATTAATATCTATTGTAACCATATATTTTGAATTATTTATTATCATCCTCTATTGATAGCAATTGTATCAATTTTCATGGACAAACTCTCAAAACAATTTGTCTCAACAAGGAATGGAAATTTTTTTAAAAAAATCATTGATTTTATTATTATTGAAGAAAAGTATGTACTACACTTTATTACTCTTATTAATTAAATAAATTAGTAGCTACAATAAAAAATAATACATATGCATTTAATTAATTTAGAATTAGATGTTTATAATGTTGTATTTTAAAAAAAAAAATTATTCATTATAAAAAAATTTAAAAGAAATATAATTTCATTAGTTATATTATCTTTATTTTCTACAATACAAAGATTCCTTACCTTCAAATTTATTAATTTATTATATTCACTACATTGTTCATTGTCTTCTTGTTTACATTATCTTGTAATTAAATATCAAAGTTATAATACAAATTCTTAATATTTTGTTCAATACTTTCACATGATAACCTACGACACACATCTCACAACACATGAAACATGTAGGGAAAAAACTACCACTACTAAATATCAATAGGTGTTTGTACGCTAAAGAGTTCATATTACAACTAAAATCACAGTCATATACACAGCAAGACAAATCTAAAACTTCCCACACTATAATCTCATTGCATGATGAATCTCTCTATGCTGCTACCAGTAACCTAATTGCACATGACACACTATCAATAAAAAAAAAGGACATGTACTGAAGATGAAAACAATAACAATGCTACCCAAAAGAGAATTAAGAAGAGTTATAGAAATTTAAATCAAAAGTAGTATTTATTTAGACTATCGCTTCAAGAATAAGTATTTAGACTAACATTATTACAAAGTTGCAAACATTTATTTTAGTGACAATTATAACTTCTCATATATTATCTTGCATTTATATACTTTAAATTACCGATTTAAATAAATAAATTCAACATTTATTTACCTTTGCATGAACATCTCCTATATAATATTGCATTGATATACTTTGAAATACTTATTTAAAAATAATTATTGGGCATTATCTCATTCGCGCAAAGCGCGTAAAAAAACTAGTAATAAGGATAAAGATGGGAAAAAAGTTAGGAAGCTAGGAGCTTATTTTGAAACGCTACCTAAAGTAGCGTTCTAAAATAAGCTCTTATTTTAAATTAGGAGCTTATTTTGGGAACATTACCAAACAGAACTTATAGCTTATTAGTAGCTTAAAATAAGCTATAAGCTCTTAAATAAGCTCCGCCAAACAGAGCTTATAGCTTATTAGTAGCTTAAAATAAGCTATAAGCTCTTAAATAAGCTCTGCGAAACAGAGCCTTAGTTACTTTCTCTACAACTGCCAATTTCCTAGAACCCTAAAAAGGGATTAAAAAGGCAAGATGATAATTAAAGAATTAGATGTGATGACCTCACTAATTGAGGAACTAAGTCAACTATGTCATCATAATTAGAGGACTAAAAATTTATATATTTAGAAATTATATTTAAATTATTATTAAACACTAAAAAATGATAAGATAATATTAAAGAAAATAAGTGAATAAAAAAGAGTTGATTTGATAAATAATAAATATAATAAATAAAATAAATACAATGAGACAAAATAAATATTCAATATTCAACTACATAATGCACAATATTCAACTGCATATATAATTTATTTCGTACTATGTGGTCTAATGGTACCCGGGTTGGACTTCCATTTGGAAGATTACGAGTTCAAGTTTCAGTGGAGGCGTTATTGGTTCTTTGTGTTTCAATAGGTTGAGAAAGTTTATGAACAGATACTACAATGTAATAGAGCCAGTAACTTTCAAAAAAAAATAATAATAATTAAAGGCCAACATTTACAATGAATAACATACATGACAGATAACATTTTAATAATTTAATTATGTTAATAACCCTTTCCGAAGGTTAATCTAATGATACCCAATTGGAGCAGGGTACTCCTTCAGCTCATGCCCTTGGCATTGTATATCCTGTAAATATGAAGACAAAATATATCAATTAATTATTGAAAAGAAAAAAACATTACCAATGTTTTAGTAATAATGTGGCACATAATATGCATCAAAATTATTTACTTGAAATAAATTGAATTTTGATTTAAAAAATAGAAAAAATTACATTTTTAGTGCTCTAGTTATACACATGTGGTACACGCTTTATCTCTATGTTACATGCATGATCATTTTAACTCTTAAGTTATGCATAAAGTGGGAGTTTAGTCTTTAAATTAAAAGGGTCAAACGCGTCACTTTATTAAGTGACGTATTGGTCAGTAATAGTTTTCGAGGGACTAAAATCATCACTTTACAAAAAACTTTGAGGTTAAAGATAGCACATTTAACTCAGAGACTAAGTAAGTACCACAGTTATAACTGAAGATAAAAAAAAATGTAATTTTCTCTATAAAAAAATATATTATGATTCATTTAGCTAAATGCAACACTACTTCGGGGGGTCACCCGTCCAAAAGTCATTCACGCTTAATTAATCACATTCTTTGGGTATCTAGTTGTTTTATCCCACTTAAAATCAATTGGTGATAAGTAGGTTAACATTAACCATTTAACCACATCCCTCCATGGTAAGCCATAACGCCAAGTCTCGAATCGAGCATGGGCTGAACTCACCCAATCCGATCAACACTCAACAGTTAATTTCCGGTTCCAAAAACCGGCAGTGTGCTATATTATTTAGCTATAAAAAGATAATTAAATAATGAAGAAACATGATTAGAAAAACTAATAAATTAAATGAAATGATCCTAAATTACTTACCGAGGCAAAGTGATTAAGGTCACGGTGATGTGCTTCATCCGCCCTAATCACAGTGATGACGTCTTTGAGCCTAGCATCCGGCGGCAACCTCCAATAATCGATGGCGATCGCCGGCGCCGGAGAGTTGTCGAACTTGCCGTTCTCTATGTCGTTGAGAAACTCAGTGTAGGAGTTGACGGCCTCCTCTTCGAGGTATCCGGTGATGCGGTGGGCGAGCTTGGGGGAGGCCAAGTAGGTGAAGAAATAGGCGTTGAAGAAGAGGCCCTGCACGGTGAAGACGAGGGCGCGCTCGTACCATTGGGGATTAGAAAGCTCGATGAATGTCATGAGGTGCATCCGCTCGTTCTCCGCTTCTTCCAGGAGGGCTTTGATCCACCCGCCGCTGTGCTCGAACCGCCGCAGCGACTTGCAGTGCAGCAGCATTCCGCCTACCATCCCCGGCACCGCCGCCACCGTCTCCAGCAACAGGGCGTGGCACATGTGTCGTCTCTGTTCAATCAAATTAACATTACTAATCAAGTTAATAGCATGATTATATTGGAGTTGCTTTAGGTATTTATTTTCCCAGGGTGACAAGGGAAACTTGTAGTTACTATTCGAGAATGTGTATGGAATAAACCTTGCTTGTGACTGTAACTAGCAAAGGACCACAAGGCAGTAAACCTGTCTAGATTACTCATAGCTGGTCAGTTCAAACCAAAAAAGTATACGAGAGTGTGCAATTGGTAAATCCGACCTTGTGACCTTAACCAACCTAGATTGTGATATGCACATTTTACACTCATATTTTAGGTACATCTTTATAATAATTTTGCATTGGTTATTTAATATTATCTAATAATTAGTTCTTTTTATATATAATATATAATATAATATATAATATATATAATATATAGTATATATATAATACATACTAATATATATATATATATATATATATATATATATATATATATATATATATATATATTGCGCACAAACTAAACATATATATATATTTAATATATATAATATAGAATGCACTAATATATAGACTACGTACGTACATATATGCATTTTAATATATATATTAATGTCAAATGTAGTTTGGTCCAACGGAGATGCATGCAAAATGATGGTAAATATTGTTTTGGAAGAAATATTCAATTCATGCGAAGCAAATGGTGGAAGCTGACTTTGGTGCGGAGGAAAATTAGTAATTGTGTGGTAGAGAATAGCTTAGGTTATTTTTAGAATACTATAAATAGAAGAAGTTTCCTATTGTAAAATGTTCATTCTTCCCTCCTATATAGTATTCGTTGAAGTTGTTATCAATGTCCATTTATGGCTAATTTCTAGTTGGTTTAGTGAATTGAAGCCCCGGAGTTCATAACGCTGTAAGGTTATTTATTTAACTTTATTATATATATGTTTTTATGCATTTTGAGTATTAAATATTCTTCTAAGTTATTTGAATAGTTGTATCATTTAATTGCTAGGGAGGCCTACTAGTTATTTATTTGATATAATTATTTGCTATATTAGATAATGTTGTGCTACAAATTATTCTAATATTCAGTAGCAACTGAGGTTAATTATTGACGGCTTAGTGATAATTGGACTCGGGGAGAATATTTTCCTAAATTAAATGCAACCGCTTGTGCTTGTGCTATTTAGTTTGTCGGTTTTCCTAATTCCTATTGCTGCTATTAAATTAAATCTATAGCGCTTGTCTTAGGTTATTTAGTAGTTAGGGGTAATTAAACCGCGTGTGCTTTAGTTACCTACAACTAAGGGAAAACGGAAATGAAATAATTTCACGACAAATATTCAATTGCATATTAATTACTTTATTAATCAATGATCAGTGTTAAATTCCGGTGGTGGATCTTTACTAACCAAGGTCTCCTATTATAAGTGTTTTCGATATATTATTTTCATTGCTTTATTCGTTCAATTAAATTTCTTGTTTATTTAAATTCTCTTTTGTTTTATCTTTACTCTCGATATATTGCAAACCCCCCACCTTTAATTTGAGCACAGAAGTTAAACTAGTTACTCCTCGTGGGATCGATCCTTACTCCCGCTACTACGTTTGTAAGGTTTTAATTTGGAAGCCTACGACAGCTCACCAGATTGCTTGAGCAACTCAAGCCAAAAAAGGCATAGTATCCTAGGTTGTGCACTAGGTAAACCTTGCCTTGTGACTCTAACCAACAAAAGACTGCAAGGTGGTAAAATTAGTCTAGATTACTCATAGTTGATCAGCTCAAACTAAAAACGTATCCGACTGAGGGTGTCTGCGGAAGAAACCTGCCTTATGACCCTAACCAGTAAAGGATCACAACTTCACAAAGTGATAAACTAGTCTAAATTACTCATAGTTGATGAGCAAACTAAAAAAATTGAGATTCAAACTATATCTTAATTAGTTATTTTGGTTGTGTTACTCTCCTTAGTTATATATTTTTTTTATTAATGCAATGATTGGGCATTTGCGGAATATTAATATTACCTGGAAGAAGAGGTAGGTGGGGTACTTGAGAGTTTGGACTGTCCAATAAGCAAATTTGTCCATGAAAGTGGAAGCTACATGGTGCTTCTTCACATCTATTGAAACATCTGCCGTGTACGTCTCCCATGGCTGCATGTCCACATTCAAATTTCAATTTCACATCCACAAATTAAGCATAAATTAAAGCTTAATTATTAGTAAACTATGAAAGTGACCAAAAAAAAAAAGTTTAATTACATACCCTAAAGCAATTCCACCTCCATGGAGACCCATCTGCCTTAGAAACCTTAGGTGGAGTCAACCCCCAGTAACTGCTAACCACAACCTTATTATTATCAACGGCCTTTCCCTCACCGTCACCCGCCGGCGGCTGTGTTGATTTCTTCTCTTCGCTTGCCACCGTGCTCCAGTACCGAATCTCCGGCGTCGGAACCCTCAGGACTCCGATTCCTCTGCCGGCGCCGATCCCGTAGGACGATGACATGGAGAAAATCGACGGTCGGAGCTGCCTTAGCAGCGTCCCGGACAGTTTAACCGCCCCGTTATGACTCATTAACGTGATCAACAAGACAACAACTGGAAAACACAGAAATGCTATGAATGGAGGTTACGTTGGTTTGTTGTTGAGGATTGGAAGAAATTAAAGGGGAAGTTGAAGAACACTTTGATGTATATATGTTGTTGAATTGTATAGTTTTGTGGGGCATAAACACTACTTCTCAAAAGTGGTTTATATATAGTGTTTGATTTGGATTTTTTGTTTAATAGTTATACATATTTGAATTTTCCAATGGATAGAGAAAGGAATAATATTGCATGATTTTTTTTTGGTGGTTGAATCTCATTAGCTCATCTCCAAAGAGACGGCAAAAGACTATTTTGCCAAAAAAATTGGCGCATTTTGACTTTAACGGAACACCAAAATTGTTTTTTTTTTTTTTTTTTTTTTTTTTTTTTTTTTTTTTTTTTTTTGTGTTCAACACTCAACAGTGGTGCGCCAAACATGACGCAATACTATTTATTCATGTTTTGCTTTTATTTGTTAATTCTTTTTGTATCATTTATTTTATTTTCATGTATTTATATATTTTATTAAATACTTAAAACATAAATTTTATATTATTAAAAATAATTTATATCATTTGAAAATCTCATTGATTAAGACGATCAAAACAAATCTAATATTAGATATAGATTAATAAAAATTAAACTATATAAAATCTAATTTTAACAAAATTAAATTTGTAGAATAAAAATATTATTTGCATTAAAATTATATTTTACATTAAAATAAGTAAAGTATTAATATAAATTTTTAATTTATAATAATATAAATTATTTTAGTGTTGGAATAAAATCTTGTGTAAGAATATACTGAAAATATTCTTTTGGTGTAAAATTATTTGGTGTTTTGGGTTGGAGGTAGATGGACTTAGGATTCGTGAGAGGGTCAGGTCAAGATGAAAATATAATACTTATGCTATAAAATGTAATACTAATCAGGAATAAATTGATTGTTACTTAGAAGAGAAAATGTAATATTTTTGAGGAAAAAATGTAATACTTAAGATTAAAATGTAATATTTATATGTTCAACAGTTACTTAATACTTATGAGAAAAAAGTATAATACTAATCAGGGATGAATTAACAATTGTTACTTATGAGAGAAAGTGCAATACTTATGAGGAAAAATGTGATACTTTTGATTAAAATTGTAATACATTTGAATCAAATTGTAATATTATATGTTGAAAGTTATTTATGGAGAGAATTGTAATATTTATGAAAAACTCAACTAATTTCAGGGTTGAAGATTCGTGAGACGATCTTATAAGAAATTTTGTCTTTTTCTATAACATCTTTTTTTTTTTTTTTTTAAAAATATGTAAATTATGTGTTTGATTTTTCAAAAGGAGAGAGCTAGCGACAATAGAAGGTTTCTTCAAGAAGATTTGGAATATATAGAATGACCGCAAATTATGCTGTGGAACTGTGTTAAAACGGTTCATAATTATGAATATATAGTTCAAAAATTATGAGCATATAGTTTTATAATTGTGAACATAGATTTGTGAACATAATTATGAACATATAGTTCTGTAATTATGAATATAGAGATTCAATAATTGTAAATATGAAGTTCAAAAATTATGAATATATAGCTTTATAATTATGAACATACAATTCATTAATTATGAACATAGAGTTCAATAATTATGAATATGAAGTTCAAAAAGTATATATATATATATATATATATATATATATATATATATATATATATATATATATATATAGTTTTATAATTATGAACATATAGTTCAGTAATTATAAACATAGAACGAGTCAATGCCCAAATGATTTTTTGTTTTTTTGTTTTTTGTTTTTATTTCGATAGTTTGGTCATCAAGGTTTCGTACAAAATTAGAATGCAAACACTAGTAAAATAAATCCTATACTTTAAGCGTTTACATAATACATGAAACTGTCACTTTTATTTTTTAAAAAGAAAATATTGGCATGAATGACGTATCTTGTACATAAAACAAAACTTTCGATAATGATTTTTTTTTTTTTTTTAGCATTGGTAATTATTAATGAATTGTATTTGGTATGGTTTAGTTGTTAATGGAATTATTGAGATGTATCCATCAAACCAAAGAATTGTCAAGTTGGCAATTCCAATCTTGCAATAATGTGAGATATTTAAGTTGATTAATTTTAACCTCACATTAACTGATGGAGAAAATAGATTTTTTCATTTAAGTAAAAGATAGTGATTTATGATGTTTGCAAGCAATAAATAAGTAATCAGGACACAAAAATATTTAACATGAAAATCATAACGATAAAAATCACGAGCCTTTTAAGTTAAGCCAAACCAAAATCCATTATATATATTGGAGGTATATGTACAAAGGCAATCATGCTATGGAGTGAAAGGGTAAGAAAACTAGATAGAAGAAAGATTGTATAGAACTGAAAATGAACTTGGGATCCTTTGTCTGATTCCGGAGCTTTTATATAAGTTTCTTTCTGTGCAGTTGCATGCAAATTTGTAACTTCCCGTAATTTTTCTTACTTTTTTACTGGACTTCTTCTTTGACTAATATCATAATAATAATAATAATAATAATAATAATAATAATAATAATAATGATAATAATAATATATGGATATTATTCCATCACTTAACACATGTGAACAGACAGCCTAGACATTGCGTAATTGTGTTGTGTTTTATGTTCTGGAACTTCAATCCTTTGTCGGAAAGAAGAGGAGACAACATACTTTGCGGGTCATAATTGATTAAAGAGTAAATACTCAAAATGGTCCTTCGACTATAACTAAATTCACAAATTGGTCCTCAACTTTCAATTTCAACCAATTAAGTCTTTAACTTTGTAATTTTAACACAATTTGATCCTCTGTCTATTTGACCATTTGTTGACTGTGATTTTTGAGGATATTATGAAATTTCATGGTCCATCGTCAATTTTTTAAGGTTCTGATTGTATTTCCAGACCGCACTGTTACATTTGAATCCACTGTTGAAAGCAATCTACCAAATCCGATCGCCTTTCTTCATCCTCCCTTTGGATTCAATGTAGTTGAGTTCGTACTAGAGCGAAGAAGACGACGTGTTTCCGAACCAGTGCAACGTCATCCTGGAGGCCTCCACGTGCTCCGATGAGAGCTGAAGGTTCTTCTGTAGATCGTCGATCACGGTCAACAAACGGTCAAATAGATGGAGGACCAAATCGTGTCAAAATTACAAAGTTAAGGACTTAATTGGTTGAAATTGAAAGTCGAGGACCAATTTGTGAATTTAGCTATAGTCGAGGGACCATTTTGGATATTTACTCTTGATTAAAAGGAATAACGCGTAATTAATTATATTAATTATTTTTTTTTTTTTAGTATAGTACTGACTCGGTTATAAATTACAATGTAGTATGAAGCACACAGAGTTAATACCAAATACATGACCTTCCACTTAGTAGAGCCACTTCGTGCCACTAGACCACAAGGTCAATGACAAATTATATTAATTATTAATTAATTAATTTACGAGAACACTTCTCTCTGTAAAAAATATTGACACATCCACTCCTTTCATCTTGATAAATCAAAGGTTAAGATCACACCATTACTAAATGTTCAAGTTTGTAATAATTATAAAATGAATCGCGCTCTTAAAATTTTTCAATAATTATAAAATTGACCTTGTATTTTTTTTTTTACTAAAACCTTCTACCATTGATAAACCCTGATGAATGACTAAGATCAATCATCACTTTTTACAGGAGGACCCTATTCTCATTTGATCATTTCCCTATATCAACAAAAAGTGTAATTAAATATGACAACATATTAAAAGCTTAGTTTCCTTTTATATAAAATTTTTCTATCATAATATGCTAAATAAATTTTGATACAAAGATCAAAAAATGAGTTGTTATACAATGGACCAGGGTCCACATTGCAAGGTGTACCCGTGTTCAAAATACATAATTTTACATTTATAATGTTCACAATTTACACACTAGATGTTCACAATTTACAAAATTGTGAACATTTAGTATGTAAATTGTGTATTTTGAACTCGGGTCCAAAAAATAATTTGCCTCAAATAAACTACTCCGTATCAAACTGTGTCAAAACAACAATTTATCAAATTTTAAAAACCTTCAAATACTTACTCACACTCAATAATTTTTTTTTTTTTTTTTTTTTAAAGAAGAAGATGAAGTGCATTTAGAACATAATTTTCTAATTAAAATTGCTGAGAGATAATGTGGCACACGATTTGGTAAATATAGTTTTTATAATCATCACATCATTGAAGTACTAAATATTGGCGTATATTACGTAATATGGTGCTAGGGTTGGTTTCGGCTACGGTCTCTTCGCCTAGTTTGCTTGATGGTTTAAATTATGAAGCTCAGAATACTTGATAGTGGATCAGAGATTCTTGAGCCAATAGTTAGCGTGTAGGAATAGCCAAAAGTCCTCCCCTATAGCAATTAATGCGGTATTTATATAGGGAAGAAGAGGGAACAAGCTCCAGTCTCACAGCATGTACAGCCTGTGGTACCCATGCACGGGCTCAGTCTGGGGTCCAAGGTGGCTTGACCACGTCTCCTAATATTCTTTGGTTTATTGGGTGCACCGCCACTGCGTTCTGCCAATAGTATTAGGTAAGTAGGTCGGTCCCGACCTGATTAAGTCGGGACACATGGAATACTATAGTGCCTGCGAATGGTCGCCTAAAGTAAAGCTCGGCAAGGAAGATGGTCGGGAAGGTAAGCGTACCAAGTCGGCAATGATCGGGTCAGGCCCCAATCAAGGAATGGGTCCAGATCCGACCGGAATACATACGTATAGACGGATAGGGAATAATCCTCATCAATCACCACCACCACCATCATGGGGTGTTTGGAAAATGACTTAACTTATCAATCAAAGTCTAACTTGATTGAACAACTTTAACTTGTTTGACAAGTCAAACAGCTAACACAATCAGAAAATGTAATACGTACTAATAAAAAACAAAGTGCTTGTTACTTATAAGAGGAAGTAGTGTAATATTTTTGAGGAAAAATGCAATACTTTTACATTTTAATTTAAAATTATTACATTTTTTTCTCAAAAGTATTACACTTTTCTTTATAAGTAACAAACACTTTATT